TAGGAAAGGAGCTAGATGGATAAGTGATTTTGATTATATAATACCTAGTATGGCTATGAATTAGAACCAGACCGGTGTGAATCTTAGGAAAAATTACATTACATAAAATTATTCAGGCAGGCTTAAGCGCTTGCTTAAAAATTGTAATAAATTACAGATGGCCTGATTTTATCCACAGCTGACTGCTTTTTACAGCCATTAGGACAAGAATTCTGTTTGTGATAGCTTCTGAGCACATCATATTAAAGTTGACCAAGTTGCAAAGTGGAGGTATATGCAGATTGCCAGCACATAATGTTCTGTCTGCTAATTTCAAGCCAATTAACTTCGAGTGAAGATGTGAGGTAATTGTTAAGATCCATATAGTCATTTCTGTATTTCCATTTTACATAAACGGTAAAGAGATGTTTCTTATTATCTGTAGAAGCTATTTTCTCAACTGTTGATTTTGTTTGGTAGAAGTAAAGTTATGGGAAGTTCCCAACTAATTTTAAATTCTTGCTCTTCAAATACTGAAAGATTATTTATCTTGTTACCTAAGGACTACTTATGAATAAAGTTTTAGTGCCATGTTGTCATGGTATGCTTTTATTGTATTGTAGATGGAGATTAATTTGGGAACAAAATTGGGAGTCACTCATCACTAGATAGTAAATAGAGAATGGAGTGGGAGCAAAAACTTGAAGTGGGAGCTGATTCAGTGAGAGCAACTTGATCAGTTTTAAGCACACAGCTATGTATTGTCTTATTAAAATGCAGCCACCACAGTTATTGTGATTATCTGAGGTTTTGACAATTAGTTTACCTCCTAAATAATAAACCAACATTCAGGTATTCTATGAAGGAGTAGGACTTGCATTAGTCTCACATATCACACGTTCTTATCAGAAGAATAATAAAGGGAAATTCTGACCAGACAACATAAGAAAAAGCTATTCTTGACCTCAGTCCATTCATACTCAACTCCTGTTCAGTACTCACCTTTCCATATCATCCCCTACATCCTGGCATCCCTCTTAGGATCCTCATAGCAACTGCAACCTCTGCTGCAGTTGAACTTGATTGTTTTTCCCAGTTTTAATGGAAAATGAATATCACATAATATTTATGCAGTAGATACTTTCATTGCTGAAGCGATCTTCAGAGTTGTTACTAAAAACGATCTCTCAGAGAGAGCTTCAGGAATAGGCTATAGTAGATGAAACAAAATCCAATACAAAGGAATGATTGCTTATAAATGAGAGGATTCATTGGTGTAAAACCAATCCTTAAACAGCGGTTTTTGTGCGTTCAGCATCACACCAGCCAAGATCGATGAGTGGCTTAGAAATCAGTGTTTGATGCCACGAATTACTTGCCGATAGTCTTCTACAGAAGACTGCTTTAGCCCCTTCTGTTGAGAACTTAAAACATTGTTAGGGTGCCTGAAACTGTGGAAAGCCTTCAGCCTTGTCCAGGCACTTGGCACCACTGAAAAGAGCTGGCTCCTTCCTCTGTGCTCCCTCCCTGCAGGTGTTAATAGAGTTTGATGAGATTGCCCCTGAGCCTCCTCTTCTTCAGGCTGAGTGGTCCCAGCTCTCTCAGCCTTTCCTCAGAGGAGAAGTGCCTTAAATCCACATACTGGCCCGTCACTGGACTCTCTCCAGTCTGTCCATGTTTCTTTTGTACTGAGGGGCCCAGCACTCCAAGCGTGGCCTCACTTGGAGCAGAGCAGAAGGATCACCTCACTGGACCTGTTGGCAATACTTTACCTACATTACTGCTGAAGTAAAGAAGTAAAGCCAAACTGCTTTCCTGCTTGTTGGCCCTCAACTTGTCCTGGTGCCTGGGATTGTTGCTTCCCAGGTGCAGGACTTTGCTTCATGAGATTCCTGTCAGCCCATTTCTCCAGCCTCTTCAGGTCCGTCTGGTTAGCAGCACAACCCTCTGGTGTACCAGCCAGTTTTTGTCTTGTGTACCAGACACTCCTCCCAGTTTTGTCATCTCCAAACGTGCTGAGGAGTGCACCATCCCCTGCCCCATCACCCAAACACTTAGCGAAGATGGTGAACCCGACTGGACACAATTTGGGTCCCTGGGGTACACCACTAGTTACTGACCTCCAAGGAGACTTCATGCCCCTGATCACCACTTTCTTGACCCAGCCACTCAGACAATTTTCAGGCCACTTCACTGCTCATCCAGCTCATACTTCATTAGCTTCTCCATGAGGACCTTACAGGAGATGGCATCAAAGACCTTACTGAAGTCTGGGCAGACAGTATGCAATGCTCTCCCCTTTCTACCATGCTAGTCGTTCCATCACAGAAGCTTATTAGATGTGTCCAGCATGACTTCTCTTTGGCTGAATCTGTGCTGACTTCTCCTAAACCATCTTTTGGCCTTCGTGTGCCTAGAAATGGTTTCCAGGACCAGCAGGTCTGTCATCTTCCCAGGGGTCAAGGTGAGGCTGACTGGCCTGTAGTTCCCTGGTCATCCTCCATGCCCTTCTTGAAGATAGCTGGGATAGAAGAATGTGCTTAAGTAAAAGGTTAAAAGGAGATAATTGGGATTGGGGGGGTTGGGGAGGATTACTGTATCTCAGCTAGATATTATCTGTGCAATTGCAGAAAATCATGATACCCATACCGGATCTCAATAATGATTGTTTCCCTGCTTCTCTACTGAAGAGATTTGCTTTATGGATGAAAATTGCAAGACTTGCCAATCTGAGGAGCTATATAAAGAGCTGAAGTATGCAATACCTGCTGAACAAGCAATAACTTCAATGGATTGTTGTTGCCCTCTTCAAAACAGGGGCTCAGTTTTTCTTAGGGCAGAAAATTCCAAGTCATGTTGGATACCAGGCTGATAGCACGGGGGATGCAAAATAATTGATTTCCAAGAAGCTTGTTCTGGCCTCAGGTGTTTCTCCATGACACTTGCAAATGATCCGCTTTCAGTTATCTCAGAATAATTTAAAGCTTACCACATTGCTTGGTTTCAGTAGATATTTGAAAATGAGAACAACCATAAAGTGTAGTGCCCATTTGTGACAACTGTGAAAAATGGAAGTTTAAGGCATGTGTATAGAAGACCTTTGCTCTGCTGTTTGCAAGGACAGTGTTTTAGGGGTATAGACTAGTACCATAAAGATTTAGTTTTTCAATTTGAAGTTGTTTATGTATGATCTAAAGTAAATGTATGTAGAAATCACTGCAACTGTGTACTTGACTTACAAAACCACACACGCTGCTATGCCAGCCTGGAATATGGTTAAAATGGTAGCCCCAGTAATTGTGAAGACTTCACTTGAAAGTAAATACAGAAATACTGCCTACTGTCCCTTCATACAGACTCCTTTATAGCAGGGTTTTATGCCATTTTTTATTTATTTGACGCTGCTTTGTCTCCTACCTTTATGCAGCCTTTTCCGAAAAGATACTGCAAAGAGTAATTAACCTATTAGTGGTGTTGATAATTAACAATAATTGCTGTGATATTCTAGCAGACTAGTTATAATAATAGACTGAGATGAATCTGAGTGCAGCACAAGTCCCAAGCAGCCTTTTGTCACGGTTTATGACACTGCTACAAAATTCAAGCAGGTCACTAAATGAAACACTAAGTTAAAGCAATTTCACTGCCTTGTTATGCAGTTCTTTAGCCCATTGCATGCTTCTGTGCACACTGTGTGCAGGGATTTTTTTGCTAGAGCAAATCAGTATTTCTCTGAAAGATGAGCAGGGATGAGTTTGGGTGTGCAGGTTCCTGTTTCCCATCGCTGCAGATATTTCCTAGGGGTTTTCAATGCTCGTTTCAGAGGAGCATCAGTGGTATGTTGGGTTTGGGGTAGTCTTGACACAGACACCAACCTCATTTACTCTTTATTCCCAGTTTGCAGGAGAGGAAAGGAAAGGATGATGTAAACAAAGATAACTCCGTACCCACTGCAGTGATATATGTTACAGAACTGTGAAATTCTCCTAATACTAAATGCTAAGATTTAAGGACTTCAGCGACCTTAGCAGACTCAGTGGCTCTGTCAAAGGCAGCTATAGGGATGATAAAGGTGGGAACGAAGCACATCTTCTTGATCTTAGCCCAGTGCCCAGCTTGATAGCTTTTCTTCTATCCATCAGGAATCCGTTCGTGTTAAAAGCTGTACAAAAGATTGACCAGTTCGCTTCAGGTGTGCTTTTTTTGTGATTAAGTATGGAGTAAAGGCATATTAGATACATAGAAGAGGATACATTTGCCATGTCTGTACTGTAAACCAGTTTATGTTCATTTTAAAAAGTGATATTTGGATGGATTAAGATGGTCAATCTGATATTACTATGAGACGAACTATAAATAGATGTATGAAGTCATTTTCATAGTCAAATTTCATGTCAATACCATCTTACATTCTCTTAGAAGTCTCTTGGCAAGAAAAGATTAAAAGTCTCCATCTCCAAAGGAGACAAATGGTGTCACTTGCCTTCAGGTTTACAAAGAAGGACCATGAAAACACATCTGTGTGGAAGCACATCTGCACTTAGCATCTATGAAGTCTGCACATTCTGCAGATACTGTTTTCAAGAAGGGTAAATAGTGGCAGTCTCTAGTCTGCTTCTGAATTTTTACTACAAGCTTTTGAAAAATAGAACTCTTTTCTCTTTAATGATGCAGAACGGCGTAGTTTGGATGCTGAAGTAAGTCAATAAATAAGAGCATAGACAGATTTCTGGCTGGTGCATGATAAGCAGTGGCTCAGTTTAAGATTTCAATTTATTTTTAATTTATCCTGGAAGTTTTATTTAAAAATTGATTACATATCAGTGAAGGAAAAAGGATAATGTTTTAGAGTAATACGCCTCGTCCTTTATACCAAAACTGTAATTTATCTCCTTATACATCAAATTCATTACAATAAACAATACAGAAAAGAGTTTTTATTTCTGACATTGTAATGGGAATTTTTAAGCACTTTATACTTTTCAGAAAATTTACTTGTGATTTTTTTTTCCTTTCTAAAGCCACAGAAGAAGGAGGATCAGCAATTAGAAGCTAAAGCAAGTCCCAAAAAGTCATCAGAACCCACTATTGACCTTTTAGGACTTGGTAAGCAATAGATAATTACCTGTTTTTCTATCAAATACGGATACATCATTTTATGTTTCAATAAATATTCTCTCTGCTCACTGATGCTGTTAGCTGAATTTGAAAATCGTAAGATTGAGTCTATGAATTTAGAACTATAAAGGAAAATGCCATGGGGACGTGTGTATATCAATACTTGTGTTTTGCTAAGGAGAGTAATGAGCTCCTGTGGGAAGGGGAAGTTATCAAAGTGATCTTCAAAGGGCTTGCGGATGGTGGTATTTCAGAGTTTATGGTACCAGCATACTTTTTAATTGAAATGCTGAGGTAATCTGAATTGTACTTCTCTAAAATGCCTTATGTCATAAAACTCCTATCTTTGTTAAAAGAACAATAAAGTGTCTCACTGCAACTGACCAGTATCTTGTAAAATTTAATACACTGGGCACTGCTTTGCTGTATACTGACTGTGACAGTCATTCAGTTTTATGTGATATGGCTTTTGTTCTCTTGACTGGCAGGTAACCATCCATTTGTCTAGTAAATAAACTGTTTCAGACCCCGTAATTTTTATGGGTTTCCTCTGCTTGTTGAAGGCCATATTTGTATAATATATGTGTTTGCCCATTGGATAGAAACAAAACCTAGAAAAACAAAGTATTACAGTAATTACTTTAAATCCCTTTCATTGTCTGAATTATTTGTTTATGAATTTGAATATTGTTTATGAATTGGGAGTGGATATTAGTATTTTCAATTGAAACTATTCTAGATTTCTACATAGTGTTTACAGGGTGTTAAATGAGGCAGATAAGTTTTTAAAATGTAGTACAATCTGGAATTTGTTGGAAAATGTTTTGTTGCCTTTTTTTAAAAAAAACAAAACACACTTTGGGGTTTAAGGTAATAATGTTGCAACAAAGCAAAAAGCGTCTTCCCCTATTTTCGAATTTGCACTGGCATTCAGAATGCAATTTATTTTCCCTCTGTATGCAGAGTAGCTGCAAAATACTGTTTTTGTACTGGTTATGCATGTGTGTTGTGGTCCGTATCTCATCCCAAGTAATCTGCTACTATAGGCAAGCAAATCTTAATTAACACAGTAGAAGTTAGATTATGGATATAGAATGAACTTGTTAAAAACAAAAGTAATTCAGACGTCATGGAAAACTGGTCCTCCTTTCTTTTCCTTTACCAGACCTAATTAAGAATTAAAATTTAATCAATATGTGGTTCTGAGGCTGTCAGACTTCTGTATCCTTTTAGTTATTGTTTGAAAAGCATCTTGGTAATGCCGCTTCATGATGTGGTAATGAACTCGGATCACATCGAGATGCAATATGCAATAGAAGAGAATTGGAATTGTGTTCAGCAGCTGTGGTTCTTCATTGTAAGGAAGCACAGCGAGATACACAAAGGGCAAGGTTTATAATTTGTATTGTAGAATAAAATGATTTTAGAGGAGGGGGTGTTAAAGACTTCTTCAGTAACAAATTGAAAGGCAGCGTAATAAGCCAGTATCACTTAGGGTCCGCTGAGCTACAAATGAGGGGGATTAATGAGAGCAGACCTGCGTGTTTCATTTGGAGAGTTGTCTTCTAATTAATTCCTGCAGTGGACTACTTGTTGTTAATTTGTTGGTATTAAAAGAGTGATCACTTCAAAACAATCTATATGCCATATCAAACAAGAATAGAGTGGACACGATTGTATAGCTCATTTTTCTTACTGAGTGGACACATTTCTAATAACAGTGATTCATTCCCTCGGGATTTTATTTCTGCAAATGGAGAACGATAGAAGTTTTCACTAGATGGATCAGAATCACTTGTAATAGCAGATTAAGTAATTTTAATGGATCACAATTCATGCTAGAAGAATTCTGGCTTTCAAAACAGCCTGGCCTCTTGGGGAGTATTTTCTTGAGTAAAGAGCAGCTTTGGGTATGAAGTTAACCTCTGGGTGATTGCTTTTTTTTTTTTTTGTCTCCAGTAGTTTTTTTTTAATAGTGACCTCATCACCTCATCAGAAGGTAAACCTCATCCTGTGAAGTAGGACTTACCCTGAGAAAACAAGCGGCAGTTATAGCTAGACGATATAATTTTCTGGAAACATTTTTTAATTATTATTTTTCTTTACAAAATGCAAAATTCTCAAGGTAATATGCCTGGGCGAATTGCATCTTTAAAACTTGTAACAGCAGCAGAAGCATGATGCAGAAAAACACTACAGTCACCAAGGATTTCTTCTGAGCTTTTAAAATAGATTCATGTGGTTTCCTTGAGTTTGTCCTGTTCAGGAGGCTATTAACTGAGGTAGCGTTTCAAAATTCAATTTTTGATGATCCAGCTAGATAAACATTTGTGCCTTCTGGCCTTTTGTTTCAATGTAGATTTTAATTCAGTCATCCACAGACATAGAAAGGTGGGAAACAGATGTGTACAAGCTAAATGTTCTTACATTCTTCACAAGCAATAGCGATAGTTAATGTTCATGCTGTGCTACCTCAAATTCTTTCCCTTACTTCCCAAGCTATGAGGAATCACAGCCTGTTTCTGCAGGCTAAATCTGCTGCCGCTATTTGTTATTGATCTCTACAATTAGCTGGATCTTGCCCACACTGAACGAGTGCCCTATTGAGAATGTTAGGACTTGGAAGTTAATGCCAAAATCGGTAGCATGGGATTTTATAACATTAATTTTTAATAGGGGAATTATAGGAAACATTTTTTCAGTTTGAAAGTCACAGCATGTAAACCAGAGTTGCTCAGCATTGAAGTCACTGTCACTGCTCTACCCATTGCAGCGGCGTTAATCTTTCATTCTGTGCTGCTTGGTGCCTTGGGGGTTCCTCTTACAAGAATTCTCTCCATTTATGTCAGATCAATAGAAATAAAGACAATTTAAAGAAATATTTGTAAAAAAATGTATGATAGCTATTTAAGATAGTGAGGTGTTTGTTTTTTTTCTGAATACTATCAGCGTATGCCACTTAAATTATTTCAGCATTACATGAATACAGAAAAAAGTGAGAAGTTAATATTTTTAAACTGTTATCTTACAGAATAATGAGAAAAAAGGAAAGTGCATTTTACGTATTCTGCACCATCTACTGTGTTTAGGCATGCCTTTTATAAACCAGTTAATTGCACATCCTTGATTAATCAGTGTAGTAAGCTGTTACAAATAATCAGGAGAAAATGAGTTTTATTATGTTGCATGGTTTGTCGTTTTGTTTTTTTAATCTTCATGCTTATTTAAGATACTCCTAAATATACCATAATCATTGTGCTGCTGGAAAGGAGCTCTAATACAATAAACCAGAATACAGCATCATTAATTGAATGGAAGGAAGGTAGCATTATGGAAGGAAGTGGTATCATCATGGAAGGAAGCTATCATTAATTGAATGAGATGTGTGGGGCACTCATCTGATATGCTTGAAGGTAAAGTAGGATATGCCAAAAGCTGCATATCTGTCTGGTTGTGTGGGGGAAACATTCTGTGAAGGATTTCTGTGAAGTTTTGAGAGCCTCATCATAGCATGAAATGTAGCACAGTGTTGCATATGAGAGAGGTGCACTTGTGTCAGTGCTGTCTGGTGAGTACCAAAGCAGCATCGTTGGTCATAAATTGGAAAGCTGCATTTATGAAATTAAAAAAAAGACATTTATAAGTACATAAATATCATATGCATACATAGATACATGTTAATATTTATGGTATTGCTGCTATGTTAAGATCATGTTTAGGTAAGCAGTGTATCCACCCAAAATGAAAATGTTTACAACCGCTTGGGGCTTGTGGCATTGTTAGCTTCTGGCTTTCCACATTTCATTTTGAGAAGTATTACTTAGAAACAACCTTCCTATGAGTGATTTTTCACTTATGCAAAGATTTTAGCAGTAAACAGCAGTTTAGTAATGCAGTATATAACTCCACAACAATTTGGGATATAAACAATATCTCTGTCCCAGATTTTGTTTCAAGTGTTCAACTATTTTTCTCAGCTCTGCCTTTTTAATAATTTGGTGCAATAAATAATCATATGCATACTCAAAGCCCTCTCTCCTTTCCTTGCAAGTTTTAGTATGGCTGTCATAAATATATAGAGAGAGATGTATTAAAACACACGGCAGCTTAGTAACAAAGGTCTTGTAAATAGCTTGCCCCATAGAAAATCAGCTTCAGAAACATAGTGCAGAGTTTAAGAATAAATATTCTTGCTGTGCCCTTGAATCTCTTCTGTTGGTCATTTCCACTGTTGGCAAAGCAAATTATACCGCACATTAATGCTGTGTATTAAAGCTTTCATAACAAAAGGCAGCATGACTTGGAAAGTGTCAGAAACCAGCAAAATGTATACAGAAAAGCACTATAATGGTAAATCCTTCACTTATTGAATATATCCTGGTAAATGGCTTTTGTTTCTACTAGCCAATTTAAATAAGACTTCCTAATCTGAAAGCAGAAGCAGCATCTGTTGTTGTGTAGCATGGCAGACAGCAGCCGGATATTACCTGTCACATTGTCATAAATGTAGAAAGAGCAAGTTTGGGACCACAGATAGGAACAGCAGTGAAAACCAGCATCTACTGCGGTGGGGTTGTGCCACGTCTCGTGCTTCACCTGCAGCTACTGGTGAGGATGAAGAGATGGGAGTACTTTTGATTAAAAGTGCTTTCCAAGCAACTCTGTGATCGTCTCCATAAGACTTCTGTTGGTTAAAGCTAGAAATTTCTCGAAATTTAAAGTGAGGAGAGAAATGAGAAAGTGCTTTCAAATCAGTGGTCTGTTGCACTGCAGGTTGAGAATACCCAACATGTGAACTATTACACTGAAACACAAGTTTGTGTATGCCTGCATGCATATATTTAAATGAAGACACTCATATTGCTACAAATGATAAACACGATTGAAAACACTTAGTTGGTTTTTTTTATATAGTCCTGAAATTAATCACATTCTGGAATCTTCTAGTTTCACTGTGGAAAAAATGTTTTACAAATCACTTTTTAATAGATGCAAGTACCCCAACCATCGTGGTTTTGAAAAAATTAGTAATACAGGATCTCATATTATTCCAGAGTTGAACTGTGTTTTAAACAGTTATTCAGAGTGGCTGGCTTCTGCACTGATACAGACAAGGAAATGCTCATTTTTAATGTAAAATTCAGTAAGAGATCAAAAGTATGTACATTATCAAATAAAAGTCTTTGTGAATATGTGTAGCTGTTAAAACAGCTTTAGATTGATCTGATGAAAACCTAAGTTTTCGTAGTACTAACTTATAAGCAGGTTATTAAATACTTGGAAGAAAAATGTGCTCTTGCAAATGTGTTCTCCCAATGAATGCTCAAACATATGAAATGTTTGTTTTGCTAAATGACTGTGTTTAAATTTAAAGTCTTATGTTAAACATTTTTACATTCAGGGAAACTGCACCACTTTGGAATGTAAGATTTTCTCTTTAATACACGTGTCTCACTGAGAAAATGAGCACATTAAATTATTAATTCTAGACAAATCCTTCTGCGTGAAAATTATGCACTGTTCATTCCTAAATTTATCTGAAACAGTCAACTTTTGGGGAGATGTTTTTGGAACTGCCTGTCTGCAGAATGACCTTAAATGAATAGAACACTTTGCACTGCCAGAAGCTTGTTCCTTGTGTGCAAATACGTTTATCTGCACATATCTTAAAGCATGGGTGTGGATGAATGGTGGACCAGATTATGTGTACGGTGTCTGCTGGCTTCCAGTCATCAGAACAGAAATAAGGAAAGGAGATCTTAGCTAAGATGTAAGCAGGTTTGCCATGATCATAGATGACTTTGTGTAACTTTGGTTTTCAGAATTGTTGAAGTGGTAATCCTCCCAGCAAAGTCAAATCATGACACAGGAATTAAATGTGATGTGGCTACTGCAGTCCTGTCGTCATTGTTCAAGTCACTAACTTATTTAGTAGAGAAGATCTAATATGGCCAAGCCATTCCCATGGCCGTTTTGCCTCTGTGGAGTTCTTGGGTCTTTCTTAGTCCTTGCAGACATTATAATTATCCTCACAGACTTTGGGGAACTTAGGGCAATAAACACACATGCTGAGGTTCAGTTTCTGGAGAATGCTGCTCACTTGCATCCTTCCTGTATCCCTGCCTTGTAGGTATTTTGGTCTTGTTACGGGGTCTGCGTGCCTTTGCTGGCGTGCACAATTTGGTCTGAATTCCCTATTGATAGGAAGTGGATCTGAGAATTAGCAAACAGGAATTAGGAACTATTAATGTTCCTGCTTGATACTGAATCGAGGCATAAAATCACGTTGTGTGTCTGAAAGAGTCACAAAAGCAAGCATACAGCTTTCAAAGAATTGCAACCCAGCACCCTTCCACTTGGTTGTTTCCTAATTCCCTGCATGAAAAAGGTGCAGTAAGTGCTTTAAAATCTGCTTTTACATATACCAAAGCTGTTCTGTTACAGTTTCTGTAGCAGCTATAGCTATGCCACATTTCTGTACTTACAAAGACACAAAGGTTAGCATCTCTAAAGTAAGACGAAAGATGGATATGGATGGGTGGTGGTAACTTCAGACCATTCCACATTGACAGATTTTGACACTTGTGACTTCAGTGTCAGCTTTTCAAACACATAGCAGTACCAGGCTGTGCTTTTAAAATAAATATTTACGAGCAGCGTGGCCAAAGGGGTGGGGGTGTCATGGATGGACGGTGGGCCATCGGAGTTTGAAGGCAGGCATCACTGAAACATGAAGACATCTTGTGGGGATATTTCGGACTGGACTGTTTCCAATGCATTGACTTCTAATACGAGTTAACAGCTAAAAATCTTGTCAGCTCTTCTGTGATAGCCTAGAAACCACTTGAGTGAGGAAACTGATGAAGTGTCTGGTGATGCCTTCAGGCTTCTTCTAACTTGTCAGCATCCTGGGCTACTGGGAGCAGTAGTCTCCAGCTGCTGGCACTGCAGCAAGTTTGCATGTGACTGAACAAAATAATGAAAAATGAGAATATTCTTCATGCAAGGTGACAGATTTTACTATATTCAGCCACTTATTCGTGTTTCTAAAAAAAAAAATAGAGGAGCAAAAGGAGATCTTATTTCTAACTAATAAACTTACTCTTTTATTCTATTCTGTCTTTAATAAAACAAAATGCCAATTCATTTATGATTGTTTTCCAGATGGGAAAGAATGCTGCAGTTATTTAAGAGATGGACTTGTATTATTTTAAATAAGTGTTGGAAGCCTCTTATGATTTGCTTTTAATTAAACATTTCATTTCAACCATGCTCTTCACTAATCAGACCGCTTCTGTGCTTTTATTAGAGTTGTAGAAATTTTAATATACCAAAACCTCACATCTCCCTTCTGCCTTACGTATTTCTCTGTGGTAGCAAGGCATATGCTTTGTGTGTTATCACGAGATTGCTAATGCTGATATTCCAATGATAGACCTCTGCTCTGGAAATAGATCTTTTCACTGTGCTTGATAATTTTCATGGTTGTAGGATATTGGAAAAAAACGCCATACATTGTAGTAAAAAGGAGCAAGTGACTGTTTTTTCTTAAATAAATATTAACTGTTTTTGAAGGTTCTTGGTGTTTTTTAAGTTTAAAACTGGTGATCTGTAGTCTGTGTTTTAAATTTGGAATATATTACTGAGAGTCTGTAAGTGTTTCAGAAGTTTCTGGTAGATATATTTGAAGTTAGCTACCTGTGTGTAATTGTATGACTTCAAAAAAAAATCCTTTAATTAGAATTCTACATAAATTAAAATTTGCTTTACAGAAACTTACTCTGAATAATGAGAACAGTCTTATCTTAGGAATTGAGTACATATTTGATGGCAGTGGGGAGGATGGGCAGCTTTAATTATTTTTTAATTATTTATTACCCATTAAAATATTAACAATTTTCACTTTAAATGCAATTCCATTGTCTTTTTAAGATGGTCCAGCTGAAGCATCTGTTACAAATGGAGGCACTGCTACCGCCGCAGCATTGAACGATGACCTGGATATCTTCGGTCCGATGATCTCTAATCCTTTACCAGCAGCTGCTGTATCTCCTGCTCAGGTAAAATTTATTTGGCCATATGTGTGCCTCAATTTGTGTGTTGGTGCACATAGTTTCTTTCCAGGAGTTGTTCTCATGGAGATTCAGAGAGAAGGAATGTGTCTGTTTGCAGCTGGAGACTCTAGCCATAATGACTACATTTTTCTCACTTCTTCGGGCTTCCCTGCACTTGGATATAGAATTAAGAGGGATATTTAGGAAACGCTACAGCAGATGCTTCTATCTTAAAGCTGCTGACAAATTGGGGTCTCAAGCATCATACCCAAAATCAAGAATGGATACCAAGAAAAACTAATACTGCTTCCTGGACTGATCTGTCTTTTTCTCATCTTGGAACTTATGTGTCCCTCCTTCCTCAAGGAAGGGGTGGCATGAAACCCTTACACCTGGTCTCCTCCCTGTCATAGCACCATGATAGTTCGAAAGAGACCCCATTGCCTTGTATGCTGTAGCTGGGAAAGGCAGCTTTGGGATGCACAAAGAAAGCACTTAATGCTGCATCTCCATCAAAGTAGCTTTCAGCCTCAGAGAACAAAGTGCTGGTGCTGAACGTGGCAGGTACAGATGAGAATGCACACGGGATGACTTCCTTACCCAAAGTGGCTTCTGACAGGGAGGTTTTGCCCCATCTGTGGAGACCTTTAAGGTTATTTGGAGGCTTCTGCTTGCAGAAGGCTTTCTGCCTGACTCAGCTGAAGCAGGAAGGTCGTCTGTATGTATTCTTGAATTTATGCTTTGGGACCTATGATCCGTACTTACTTTTCCTTCCCCAGTAGTTCCGATCATATATAAACTGGAAGGAATGGTGATGGAAAGTAATTGTGATTGGACTGGCCTATCGTCATTTTGTTCCCAAATGATCCATTTATCACTGTGGTCACCTCAAAGCCTTGAGGAGCAATTGCTGTTGTCACAAGATTTGATTGTAATTGTTATTCTTTATATTTTACTCTCCCCTCATCTAGTTGTTGCTGAGGGCTGGCTTTCTGAAAAATGCTGGGTAGGGTTTTAGAGCCTGAAATCACGCTTCTTTTTCAGCATAAAAACTACAGATAAGGCAGGCTTCCCAGCATGCCTTCAGCCAGCTGTAAATGGTGAGAGATGAGTGGTTTGGATGTGTTAGCTCAGACTGCAAAGGAAATTGTTGGTATGGATTTTCTTGGCTCTTGTGGATGTCTGTGTTCAAAGTACCAGAAAGGACAGGTATCTAAGTGCACTGCTGTCTGCTATTCTACCGCCTTATGTCAAAATTGATCTAGATAAACCTACCTGTAGAGCTAGATGGGAAAAGCAGGAGCCCATTTCCAGCTTCACTGAGCTGTTTAATGTATCCAATTTTGGTGTAGATTGGGTAAATTGAAATCTAGAATCATGCAGTTTCTACTCAACCCCATAATAAACAGACCAGCAATAGTAGCACGTGTAATAGGAAGGGCTGACTTGTGTTTTTCCCCTTTTCCTGCCTTTCTGATGCTGAAAATGATTTCCCCTATATGTAGTTATTGTCTGCACAGGAGAAAAGATTTCTGGGGTACAATTAACAGTTGCCCAATCAGTCTTTTCAGGGAGCTTTCAGAATTGCAGCTTTCTCTTGATTCCATTCCGTGAGCAAGCTGCGAGATCCTCTGGTTAAACAAGTGATGTAGCTGCAGAGTTCAGGAAGCCAAAAAGAAGGCTTAAGAGTGAGAAAAAGTTAAGTGAAGGGTGATTATCTGGATGGTGATGATTTCTGAAGCGTTAAATAATGGGGTGGCTGCTACAGCATATTGAATAAAATGTATTAGCAGTTAAAGGTAAGAAAGTGCATTTCTGTGATAAAGATTGTTCTGATATTTATAGTTTATCTGTGATTGTGCTAGTTTGTAGACCAAGTATAGCACTTATTAAATAGATTACAAAGTAGTAAAAAGGAAAATATTCTCAATATCTGCTGAAGTATCAACTTGTTTGTATCCTGGGAAGCGTGGCTATATTTACTTGCAGTTAACAAACCAGTCCAGATTTTTAGTGATAATTTGCTTTTTTCTGAGAGCCATAATCAGGAGCGGCAAATAGAACTTTTATCAAATAAATGGCCCTTATGGCATCTTGCAAGATTTAATTCTTGGTTGTCTTCCATTTTTAATCAGCAGTCTCAAAGAAAATGTGATATAAACAGATAATTTCCCTAGATTAGAGGCAGGGAAATGGTAGGTAGCAGAGGATGGGTTTCTGGTGCTGATTAAATGGCTTGCTTGGTAAAGTGAATATTCCATTTTCCTTTAGGTCTAAAAGTGCCTTGCAGGTCTTGGACGTTTGGACGGTGGTATCTAGTTTGGGCACTGATTCTGGAAAGGACTTGAGGGTGCCTCTCATTTGGCAGCAGTATGAGTATTTTGCAACATGGATAAAAGTTGGATGGGATTCAGGGATGTGTCAGGAAAATACTGGAGGCTGGAAACTATGCTTTGTTATGAGATTTTAAGGATACTCTCTGTTTAATGTACTGAAGCAAAGAGGTGGTGTGATTATGTTCTGTAATTATTTTGTATGAGACTGCAAATGGGAAGGTGGACATGGAGTCCAGTAGCTGAGTAACCCTACTGTGCAGTTCCTACATTTGGAATTGGAAAATCTAGAGTAGAAATCTGTGGCCAATTCTGAAGTTGGGATGAGTAGCACTTGTTTGAATATCTAATAATAGAAATGAACCTAACTTCAAAAACTGAAGGTAGAAGAAGGGATCAAATGCAAAATAATATGGCTTACATTCTCACCCAGATTTGCTGTGGTGTTCTGCATAGGTGTTTCTGAGATACTGCAGCAGGGTTTGTGGGCATCAAAAGAGAAGGAAATATAACTTCTGTTCCTCAGACTGATTTGCAGGAGCAACATACACTCAGTTCATTATTCACAGGATTGCTTTTCTTTCCAATCTAACCTTTAAGATAGGACTTAGTATTCGATGAGTATTTTTATGGCACTGCAGAGCCCAGAAGTGTACTGTTTGAATGTTTTATTATGAGAACAGAACAGTGTGATGTCTGAAGAACTTAGGATTTGTTGTGACAGTCGACATGGCTAAGACATGATTTTAAATGAAAACAAAAGCATTTATTTATTTTTTGTTCTCAACCATTACTTCAGTATACAGTGTTTTATTGACTTTTACTCTCCTTTCAGATGCGTCTTTATTATAGTTTTCATAAAAACTAAAAATATTTCTTCCTACTTCTCTGTGTAGCTGGATATTAAAAAAAAAACAAAACAACAAACAACAGCTGATTTTGTAAAATGCACAATATGGGAATGGGTAACTTTTTTTCTAGAAATTTGCTGACTAGCAAATTCAAGAGGGTTTCAGTTAGCTTAACCAGCTCCAACTGTAAAGCTAGATAAAAGGCATGTGCTATAAAATTTACCTAATTATGCAGTGTTCGTGGACAGAAAAAGAAAAAATGACATTTTGTATGGTTAGTGACACTTTGTAATGTGAAGTGAGCATAGCTGAATTATAATTATTAGTACAAGGTTTTTTGTTGCCAAACATTGGATGGGAATTGAACAACGGTCTATCACTCTTCGTTGTAATTAAGCAATTTCCTAAATTGTTTTAGCCAAATTGTAATTTCAGATTTTGTATGGGAATATCCTCCAGCAAAAATGTGATCTTCAGTCTTTGCGGAAACTTGTTGTATGGGGGAGACGTGGAGAAATGTAGGTAGTAAGTTAAAAAGTATTAATTCACTGAAACACTTCATGTGCATCTTTAATTGAGCAAAATACTAAAATCCACTGAAATTACACTTTGGATTTTTCTGTGCCTGTTTTGGATCATATTGGGAACTGAGAATTGGTTCAAGGGCTACCAAAATATGTTTTTGTAGAGATGCTATATGTTCTTCATGAGTGTCTGAATGCAAACTTTAAAGTAGTAATGTGGTTTAGATAACTATGCGTTCTCAAATACTCGTTTTTTCCCTGAGGCCAGATGTATGCACTTACTGTGGCTGCTATTGATCAGCCCACAAGCTTTAACTTTTTAACAAAAGTTGTGGTAATGATGATGTGTCATAGTCCTTGTTTTTTTCTGGACAAAAAATGAGTTACTCAGAAACTTGCTTTATGGTGAATGTTCTTTGTGTGAGGCCTTACTGGAGAGCTATGTAGTTCTGTTATATTATGATCTGCTGGATTGCTCGTGGCTTCTGCTCATGTTTATTTTATCCCTCTAGACTTTTGAGGTAATCTGAAAGATAAGTTTATTCCTTCATCTGAACGTGGGGGATGTGGAGTGTTTCTCTAACTGTAGAAAATCATCGTTGATACAACCTGTGGTGTCTGGTGATGACTGGCAGTGTTCAGTGGCAGGCTGGACTTGGGGTTCACACTGAAGCTTCTTACTCAGGCAGTCGCTGTATGTTTGCACATGGTAGGCAGAGCTGAAATCCTGTGTAATTATGTCTGTATCTGCAAATTGAAGCTACTCGGATCTCTAGTCTGTGTTTGGGAAGTTGGTCACTGGGAATTCTTCAGCACCGTGCTGCTCCTGGCCCTTCTTCAGCAAATTGTTTAGATGCGGTGTCAGTGATCAGATTATGGAACATAGAAGTGGTCAAATGATCTTGAAATTATTGAATTATTTGTTCTGATGCCAATAGCTGTTTGTTTATCTCGTGAAGAAGCTTAAGAGGATTTCTGCACAGTTTAGTATAAATTAACATTGGTTAGCGCTGGTCCTAAGTTCCTTTTTTTATATGTGTGTTCACGTTGTGGCAATTCAAATATTGCTGGAAGCATTGATGCACAAGATTTGAATCATTTTGAGGTCATGGAATCATAGCAGCATTAAGGTTGGAAAAGACCTCCAAGATCATCTGGCCCAACCATCACCCTACTATCAATGTCCCTAAGCACCACAGTCCGACCTTTCCTTGAACACCCCCAGGGATGGTGACTCCACCACCTCCCTGGGCAACCCGCCCCAATGCCTGACTGCTCTTTCTGAGGAGAAATGTCTCCTCATTTCCAACCTGAACCGTCCCTGACACAACTTGAGGCCATTCCCTCTAGTCCTATCACTAGTTATCTGTGAGAAGAGGCCGACCCCCAGCTCCCCACACCTTCCTTTCAAGTAGTCGTAGAGAGCAATAAGGTCTCCCCTGAGCCTCCTCTTCTCCAGGCTGAACAACCCCAGCTCCCTCAGCTGCTCCTCACAGGACTTGTGCTCCAGGCCCTCACCAGCTTCACAGCCCTTCTCTGGACACGCTCCAGGGCTTCAATGTCCTTCTTGTAGTGAGGGGCCCAAAGCTGAACACAGTACTTGAGGTGTGGCCTCATCAGAGCCGAGTACAGGGGGAAGATCACCTTCCTGGTCCTGCTGGCCACACTATTCCTGATACAAGCCAGGATGCCGTTGGCTTTCTTGGCCACCTGGGCACGCTGCTGGCTCATGTTCTCCCAAGTGTTGTATTTCTGTTCTTCGGTGTTGACCTTTTTCAGTTTTAAACTCTTGAAACTTCTGATACAAATCTCAATTGTTCTTGTGTTGAGTGGCAAGAACGTGCTCTCTTTTATTATATTCTTGATGAAAAAGACTGCTTCAAGCTATATACAGACATTCCTTAGTTTACCTTTCTCCTGTTTTAACTACTCTTGTGCTTCTTTAGTTTTATGTTTAAAGAATGCAGTGCTTCAGAGAAGACCATGAAGTCTGCAGTAGGGTGACATCTCTTCTTCCTGGGGAACTGGCAGAAAAAGTGGATGCTTGTAATGTTGCAATCTTTGTGGTTTTAGTTGAATTGCACTTTCTTCCTCAGCTGTGATAGACAAACCAGAATCGTGACCCATGTTCCCCTCTGTTTCCTGAAGACATGGCCCAGCTGAAGAGGCTTGACAGGGAATGAAGAGTAGAAGGTGCTTGTTCTTGGACCTCTCTGCATGCTGAAAATTTGTAGGCATTATGAAGTGTCTCCAGCCTATACTTCGCAGTATACTACTACTACTTTTTTACTTTCTCTTCAATAACTTTACATTCTGGGCCATGATGAGTAAAAATGTACATAATTCAGTGCAGAAGCCATACCGGACTAATGAATTGTTGAAGAAGAGCTGGAATTTAGATATGATGGATGTTATTACAGTAACAGGATCTGCATCACTCTGCGCCTGGGGGAAGAGAAGGAACGAAGAAACTCCTTATATAAGTCTGTATCTTGGCGTGCTTTTGAAAGCTGTCTTATTAGTATGCACGCTGTACAGTTCAGAGTGGAGGTAACAGTGCTAAGAAGCTTACAGTCTAATGGAGAAATAATGTAGATGTGCAAAATTCTGTGATTCTGTGAAAATAGCCATGTGCAATTTGTGTAGCCAGATGGTAAAGTGATGGATTCAGCTACCAGATTTGTGGTCCTGACACATTTTGCTGACTCTTTATGGTGAAAATTTCCCTAGCTTAGGTATTACCTTTACAGGTAATAAATAAGCTGTCAATAACTAAACCAACTTACATTTGAACGTGACGCACATTTGAGATAACGGCTAGTAGTTCAGATAAATTCTGCTGTATCAAACAGCTCAGCAGTGTTATTTCTTAACCACCTGACAAGTGTTTAGTTTTGATACAGCGACTGAGAGTACTGCACGTAGCCTGTCTTGAAGGCCTGATACTATATGTATTCAAGACATGCTTTTCTAGAGGCCTTGGAGAGCATGAGAATGTTAGGTATGTGAAAATGATCTCAATGTTTTTTTAACTTGAATGCCACCTGCTGTTTTCTTGCCATGTATTTTGCATTATCTTCCATCTATTTAGCTGTTGAACACTTAGGGCAGTGGTTGTTCAGTGCCTTTGGCTCCTCTTACAATCTTCCCCAAACAAACTGAAGGAACAGACGTTCATTGAACATTCATTTCAAACGTAGCAGGTGATCAGTCCCCATGGTCTTTAGCTGTCTCTTCTCTTTTGTGCACACATGTATGATTTGCTTTATTTCACTAAAGCACCTACAGGTAGCAATATTTCATGTATCTGGAGACGATTTTAATCTGAGGTCACCCCAGATGAGAACAGTTTATCTCTGATGCTATTGTTTATTTAAAACCAAACTAAAATGCACATGAAAACAAACAAAAACCAGAAAAAAACACAGATACTACTGTTCTCCCTCCTAGAAAAAAGCAAACCTTTTCCTTACTGCTGTATGAGTGGCAGAGAAGATGCCTCTGTTAACTCTCCTCTGCTATTTAAATGTCTTTCTCCAGTATGCTGAGCACAGCTGTTGTACAGAGGCTACCTTATGCAGTAAGAGGAGAACATCTAATAATTTGGTAACGGGAGAACACACAATAATTCGGTAATGGGACTTCCTGTGTGAATGCATGGGAAACAGGTGCAACCATTTAGGGTGGACTATTACCTGAATACATCATTTAAATTCATCTCCAGTATTTTCAAAGAAGGTCACACCAGCCCGACAAATAATGCTCTCAGACTTAGAGGACTTCCTACTGCCCATTACAAAACTCTTATTTTGGCTTTGCAATCATGATTTGTTGTCAGTTATTAGCAGGAGGCACCAGCTTTATTAATACATGCTGAAGGAAGTTGGTAATTTAAGTACATGTTGGCCAGAGAGATGATTTCATGGGAGTTAAACTATTCCTGCTCTTTTTCTGTCTTCTTTTCCCTTTGTAGTGCCATCAACCTACTCTTTGTAGGATGGCTTCCATAGGGTCTCAGTTTGACTTTTGCCCAAACTGACTATAGTATAAATGCAGGGTTTTCAGTTGCCAGAGAGTTCCCGTTCCTTACTCTCTGCCCTTCCTACTCCTGTCTTGGAGATTCTGGCCATCAATCATCCAAATCCACACTCTTTCTCCCTATGGTTTCTGACCAATTTAGTTGGTATCACTTTTTTTTTTTTTCTTTCCCCTAATTTATAACACTGCCTTATCCTATAGCTTTTTAGCACTGCAGCAGTCAGATATGCTTTTTGAGGCTGTGTACTCAATGCTCGTATTGCAGTGTTGGTACAAATCCAGTGTCAGTATGTGTAGGGGAGTTTTCAGGGCCTGCCAGCAAAACCAGGAAAGCATCGAGGTTGTGGCTCCAAGGGAGAATACAGATGTCTTACAGCAGCTGCTTGTTTTGGGGTGGCATCTTGTCCTACAGGCATTGCTGTGGGATGATGGTGAAGAAGGAGACGGACCTGACTGCAAATCCAGTCCATTTGTTGTGGTACTGCAAGTAGGTTTTTGTGTTTTGTAGAAAAGGGTTGAAAAATCGCATAGGTTCTGGCATCAGGCAGATGTATGCTAACTGGGTGGTGTTGTTTGGCTGGACCATAACTTAAATACGTGCTGTGATCCTGGCTTTCTTGCGGTGTGTATACAGTTGTTATGTATTGAAAGTTCCCGCTGCTAACAGAATGAGTTGGTTTAAGAAATGTAACGGGAGTGCAGCGTATTGCCTTGTTACCTAAGCAAACTCTGGTATGGAAGTGTGTGTGTTAACAGCAAAGTAACATAACTGACAGACACTTGGAGGAAATTTGTTTATAAAACACTTGGTGCAAGAGCAATAAAAAGCCTGACAGCCTGAGTGTGGTTTAGGTTTTCAGTCCTGGGCTACAGTAAGCTTCAGATAATTAAGCTTTCTCAATAACTCAAACGTGCTTAAAGAACTAAAAGCTAATTACATTGTATTTTAGAACTTGTATTACTTTATCAACTGAAATTTTATTTCTGCCTTTTCTCCAAAAAATACGATCCTCTTAGCTGGAGTATATTCTAAAACACTGAATCTTTTGTTAGCTCCTCTCTAATTTATTCTATGAGAGGATTAATGAGATGTGAATTGTAATCTCCTTATTGATTTCCTAATTATTTTTCATAATCTAGCTAAAGCTTGTGATTTATGCTGCTCACTGATAAAAAATAATAATAATGTAGGAGCACCAAGAGTGAATAACCTGTATGTGTAATCCCTGGTGTTGGTCTGGGTTTTAGTCTTGTTTCATAACCTGTCTGGGTGGTGTTCTTGCCATACCGCATGTACTGCTGTCTTGCTTTTCAAAGCCTCGTTTAATTTAATCTCTACAAATGGACTGGTTTCCATGTTGTTAAGGGATGAGGGTGTGCAGTAAATATTTAATGTAACAACTTCTGCTGCTTTCCTTCAGTAGTCTGTCTTGACCTTTATTTCCCAGAGCGCTTCCACTAAACCAGCAGCTGCCACCTTGTCTGCAGCATCCGGGGATCTCGATCTGTTCACTGAGCAAACAACAAAATCAGAAGAGTCGGCAAAGAAACAGCTCTCCAAAGACTCCATCTTATCGCTGTATGGCACAGGAACCATGCAGCAGCAGAATGCGCCAGGTAAATCATGTTGTGACTATTTCTAATGCAATCCTATTTTAAGCTTTACCTGGAATGCAATAATCTCCTACGAGTGTACGACCAAGGTGGGGTACTCTGCTGCCTCTCTTCAAATGAGGAATTCTGTTTTTACCATTTACAAGTAATGGGAAAATTACTGAAACATGAATATTGAAGCTGCAGAACACAATAGTGTGATTGTAATGTATTTATAGCTGTTGAAATTACCAAGTATGCATTTGACTGAAAGATTTGTGAATTCAGCTTCTGCCATCTAATTCTGCCAGGATGAGTGCAGAGCTGTCATGTTTTGATTTTGGCTATATTTGTGTGAAACCAAAGACGTGTAGTACAGCAATTGAAAGATTCTCACTGATCACAGGGATTTGCCAAACTCTTTTGGGCGGTTAATTTGTGGTGGCGAGTCCCTTTCCTTTGAGAGATTTTAAGCAACTTCCTACTTTTAGAGAAAGTAAATTAACAGCGCTGACATACAACTGGAAAAAGTTATCCCTTGAAAATTACTTTGATGCGTTTCCAACTTTGGGGCACGTGGGTTGAAAATCACAAAACACTTTCTCTGAAATCTTCCCTTCTCTGATACAGGTATGTTCATGGGCTCGTCCTCTATGCCATTTACCACACAACCATCAACTCACTTTCAAGGTTTTCCAGCCATGGGAGTTCCTGTGCCTGCAGCAACTGGAATGATGGGAAGCATGATGGGACAATCGGTGCCAGTCATGGGACAGAGCACGGGTGTGATGGTAGGAATGGGAATGCCCAATGGATTTACTGGTACTGCACAAACTGGTGTGATGGGACTTCCTCAGAATGTCGTTGGACCTCAAGGTGGAATGGTGGGACAAATGGTTACTCCACAAAATAAGTATGGATTGCAACAAAATCAACAAGCTCAATGGAACCTCTCTCAGGTAAATGCTCCCTGTTCCCAGATAAGGGTGATTTAACAAAAGATGCTGCTTTTCTGATACAGACTGTTGAGCTGTAGGAAGACAGCTGCAGTGGAGCTGAGTTACAGGCTGCTGGACTATGAGTTGCTCAAACACACAGGGAAAAAGAATCCACAATGAAATAAATTAAAGATAACTAATAAATAAGCACAGAATAAACTTTGCCAAGGGAGACCAGACTCAGCTTTCTGCTACTGTAGCTAGTCTCAGCCCATTGTCTGAATTAGGTTAAATAAAATAATAACCTACTAGCTTCACTGTAATCATGCCATACTGAAGTGTAAACACAGCAGTATAGCTAAAAGCAGAATTTAATTGCTTGAGGATGGCTATTAACAATTAATACTTTCATTTACAGACTTCAGGATAAATTGCAGTGGAATGTGCACTGCTTTACACTGTGATATTCTACTGTACATAATTTGCTTAGATCCATGTTACTTATCTGTAGTATTTCCATGCTATTTTTTATGTTTAAAGGGTTCTCTAAGTGTCAGTATATGCTTAGTACTATATTTATACAGTGTCCAATGAAACATCTTAAATTATGTAGTTGAAAGCTTTTTTTTTTTAAATAAACGATTCCCTAAGAGATCAATATGGATGATAGCAACTCTTTTTTTCATATGTTTTTAATGAGAGGAACAATACAATATTTACATGCTGCTTACTCTAGTGATTCATGAAGTGAACCTTAATGACTTATTTAGATTTAATTATATAAAGTCCTGCAGTATGAACAGGTATGAAGGTAAGCAGTATTTCTTAAAGGAATAAAATAGGCCTTATTTGAAAACAGAGGCTGTCATTCTGCTTCGAAAATTACTTTTTAAAATGTGAGAATTCCAGAATTTCAAATGAAAAAATCCTCTATGGTCTTACTGTTAACAATCTTTTTTTTAAGATACCTGACTTTAAAAAAGCCCCATATCAGCTTTGACGTAAAAATCATGCTTCTTTTCAAATATATATTAAAAGTTGGCTCACAGGACAAGCTCCTACCTATTTCTGCACTACTTGCACACCAGATAATAATATCAGTATGCTCATATTCAGCAATTTGTAGGGGAACTGTGTTTCAGTTAAAAGGGGAAGAGCTTGCTTTACTTACCAGAATAGCCTGCTTTATATAGTCTGCTCCTTAAGAATTCTGCTCAAGAAAAGATTAACAATTAGGTGAGATGTTCTCATCAGCAGTTTTTAATTTCCATGTTCAGTGATTGGTCAGTCATTTTTGTGGATAAAAGTATGAAAGCACACAGTACTGAATTTTACCCTGAAATACCCTGAAATACTTGCAGTTCATTTAACAACTTCTTTCACCAGTTTTTCACAAATTCCTTTTGTACGCTGGTGTTGCATGGTGTTGTTTACATGAACTCTGAAATTTTACCTAATGCAGGCTCTTACTTTAATCTGATGCTGCTTAGCCAACATCCCTGTTCATTGCTTCTGATTATTAATTGCTGTTTTGCTCTCAAACACTTAAGAGAGGACATCTTTACTCTGTCTATATGGTTAAGTTTTGAGCTTGTCAGTAAGTGTTTTTTAGAAGGTAAGAGGTTTTTAAAGGTTTTTATATTGGGTGCTGAAAATTACACCAAATAGATAATAGTTTTAGAAAGTAGAAGTATTTTTTGCACCATCCTTAAGATGAATGTGCTTGATTTTGAACTGTTTCCCACCTTTAGTTACCTTTCTTAATTTCAGGTGAACCATTTGTTTTAAAGTAGTTATGGTATCTTGAGTTGCTTCTTTAGCAAAAACGCTTAGATTTAGACAACACTCAAGTTAATAAATCCGTATCTTTTTTGGCCAGCTAAATGGACAATTAATATAAAAAAGTGTAGTTAAGATTTTGAGGTCTCCAAAGAAATACTGCTGAAACAAAAACCATGTGGAGTTGCAAATGTAGATAAGGCTATGCTACCTGCTTTGGTGTTTCCTTATTGCAGTTGCCAACATTTTGTTGGTTAGCTTTGAAACTTCAGGCTGGTACCAACTGAAACACATCAGATTTCGTTGTCACATGCTCTGTGAATTCACCAGCAGAATGTTTGTAGGCTTGTCATAGACACCAAGTGCTACAGCCAGCCAACCTATGTATAATGATGATCACTTGAGCAGAAACTGGTTCCCGACAAGCTGGTCCCTTAAAAAATGTTCAGAAGCTTATCTTGAGTCAATATTTAATAAGAAATATTAAAGTTAGGAAAATATAATTTAACCGGGTTGCTAATTTAGGAGGCATTACTGCTTTTTGGCTAATAGTGTGTTGTTTCTCAGCACCAGTACTAATAAGACTTGTGTATGCTTCACAGATGAATCAGCAAATGGCCGGGATGAATCTCAGTAGTTCCAGCAATGTGATGGGCTTTGGCCAGCCCCCCAGCACAGTGGCAGGATGGACTGGAAGCTCCTCTGGTCAGACTCTGAGCACACAACTGTGGAAATGAAAGTTGCAATAGAAGTTTCCTCCAGAACAGCCACCTAACATTCCTTGTTCAAATGCATTTACTTTTGCTGTTCTCTCCATGTACATACTCTTTTTCTTTTTCCCAAGCTGTTCAGATTAAGAATATAACTGACTGACCGTGTTGTGGTCTATATTGATTTAAATTTGATGTAGTGAAAAGCAGATCAAGAATACATTTATATATCATTGGCAGCGTTTTCATACAATGCATATGATTTCATAGACCATGTATTTAAGAAGCTGCTTAACCACATACTGATTTTTTTCCCCTCAAAATTCTAGATCAAATGTTTGCATATAAGGGATGTAGCTATCATGTTAGTAATATCCAAAAATATAAACCCTGACCCCACCTCCCCCCAAAAAAATTACCCAGTAATCCTGTAGAAGGTACTGTATGAACAAATGTTTAATCATATATAAATAGAATGTAAATGTATCACTGAGCAATGTTTTCTAGTGTATCAAAGAAATTTTGTTTCATCATACATTTCACTGTGATGTTATTATGGTGTGCATAACAGGGAATATGGTTATTGAAAGAAAGATAAACCTGGATGTTACTGTAGTTCTATAAATTAATAGTTTATTCTTTTAAAAAATGAGCATTTGATGCATTTGAGTTTCCTGTGATAAAGTACCCAATCTGGCTCACGAGGCATGTACACAGTATTAATGCTGAGAACTAGTGGCACAACATGTATACAAGGTAACTCAGTGTGAACAGATATATTTTTTCCTCGCAGTGATCCAGGTTTATGACAGTGATTGTGTTTACATTTTATGGTGCCTCGTAATGATAAAATGTTATTTCCCTATATTAAAAGGATAAATCCATAAATGATTGTGGGTTTTTATTTCATCATTGTATGATCAACTGGACAGCTATTTCTTCCAGAAGTCTGCTTTTAATGAAGGAAAACATGTTCAATTTGGAGCAGCTATTTATGCAAATATTGAGATCAACTGTTCATGATTTAAAATCAGTTTATAATTACACCATTAAGCTGGATAAATACAAAAACTATGTACATACATGATGATTTTGAAAATATTCCATTGCAGTCATGTTTCTCTTGCTTGTTTTTACTATGTGGAAACAGTCTCAAAATAAAGGTAAGTGTCAGTTTATTAAGACGAGCTCAGAAATGCATGCAAACAAGTTAGAACGAAGCACACCCATTTGATTCGCTTATTAGAGTATCTGACAACTTTCGTTTTGTTTCCACAGAAGTCCGCCAGGTGACTGTTTAGAGATCTCACACGTGTAGACTGTTGTAACTGGCTGATTGCGAACACCTTCCGACACGCCCGTTGTACTGCACCTCCTGTACAACTTTGTCTCCAGTTCATACCTCGATATTGACTGTGTCCAGATGGTATTTTGGCTCATTAGCTAGATTGACTTTTTCTGTTCGTGTGTGCCATACAAGGACCTATAAAACAGCATCTGTGTTAGTACAGCCTTCTCCAAAGAAAACACAAGAGCTCCTTAGAAAGGAAATTATTACCTTTGTGCAGTTGTTTGCTTTTGGTTCCAGTTCCTCCACTGTAGTTATCTGTTTCAGAAAATCCGATTCTTGCATTCCCGGCTGAGAACCACGACGCTTGAATACAGCTTTTGGATGTGACAGAATCACTTGAAGACTCACAGCAAACCCTTGAAGAAAAAAAAAATGGTTAAGAAAACGCTTAAGGTTTTACATTTTGTGCAGATTACACTTAAGCCTAGAAATCTCCATGTTCCTTTTAAAAACATGTAAATTTGATTATATGGGTAGACAATATTTAGTAGTTCTGTACATCCCACGTTGTTTTGTTTTGCCCTGCAGATGCACTCAGATTTTTTTTATTGCACTGTATTTTCAACATGTTTAATCAGTTTCCTGTAATGAAGAGAATGTTTTTTGCCTGAGAAGTCAGCTATTGCTAAGATGTTGGACTATTTTCCCTTTCTACTCCTAGTTCAGAAAATAAAACTAAATTTTTACTAAAATAAAATGTATGACATTGACACTGAACAAACACTTCTAGGTTTAAAGGTGAGAGTAAAAAAAAAAGTTACGTAACTGATGACTGTCGTCTTTAGAGATTTTTTTACCTTGTTGATCAGACAGGTTGTTTATAAGCAGTCACCTGCATGACAGTCTGTAGCTGATCTGTGCACTGCACTATGCAAAGGATTTTATCTGTGGACATAGCTCTGTTGGCAATGCGTTCCCCCTAATAACATACCCTAGGCCCCCCAAAGGGAGATAACAAACCAAGAAAAAATCAGGTGTGAACAAACACCCTTTCTGAAGCAGAAAGGTTAGCCTTCCTTCCCATTTGCTGTTACTTACAGAAATGTGTGTTTTCATTCAGTAAGGTTCAGTCGTATGCGTACTTCAGGTATGACCCAAAACTGTTCTGATACACTTGTGGAGAAAAAATACGTTTGTAATGCCTTATGTCTAATAGCCAAGACTACCACATAAATAAATGCTTTTTAGTCAGTTCTGAGTGGTGCCAGCTGCCCCTTTGTAAGAGAAGCTGCTGTCCCTTTACAACAGTTTTGACATCTGCTTTGGAAAACTGTGAGCATGTTAAGTTCTAAAGACAATATTAAGATTTTTCTCATTAAAAAGGAGTATAATTTTCTCTAATGGAATATAAGTCTGTCTCCTTTTTTACCGGAACTGTCTTGCTGCTGTATTTTCCTTGAAACTACCTGGGTCTTTTATGGGAGTCTTTTAAAGAGGAAAATAAAAGGAAGCAGTTAATACATCGCATGCAAAGAAAGTGTGTTGAAACCACGTTTACCTTACAATACAGTAAGACTCCAGAAAGTGATTTTTTTTCTTTAAAAGTAAAGAATGGCCCTGGTTCAGTTCAGTATTTTTTGTTAGGTTTTCTTCTAAATTAGAACAAGCAATTACAATTTTTGGTGTAACCACTGTGGTTGACAGTTTGGGCACAAAACCACACTGTTTGCTCTGCAAGGTAAGTCAGTCTTTGCTGGAGCCCTGATCAGCTGCAGGAGCTGCTGTTTGCTTTTAAAACGCTCGAAGATTGAAGCTCGTCATCCGTGAAGATGAAAACCAAGTAAACACCAAAATTAGTACCATGGCCTAGATTTAAAGAGTGGTGAAAGCATCCATCCTAGGTAGAACAGAAACACATTTCCTAGCATTTCTTTGCATGTTTCACCTAACTTGGCCTCTGATTCCCCATAGTCCATGCTTATCAATACAAGAATTCCTTCTAGGGTCTCTTGGTGCAAACCTGCTCCTGCGTTGAGAAATGGAGTCAGGTCTACGGATGAATTTGTCCTATGCTTGTATCTTCAACAATGCTGTGTCCCCTGCACGTAACACGTAGCCTCGGTACTGTGTTACTGCAAACCACCCTCCTAGAGTGCTGTCAAAACCTCCCCGTGTTTTCAGACATGAAATTGAGTCAAATTATTAAACTGTTGTACACAGTAAGGACATAGACTGCTGTGCACTGACTGGCCTGAGGCTTGGTTTCGTAAGCAGTGGTCACGCATTCTCTGGGTATCTTAAGAGACTGAGTAAGCAGCAACTTGAAAATAATTCAGGGAGACTTATCTCCCAGCTCTGCAGTTCTTCAGCTCTGCTGTATAACTGCTTTACTTTCACATGACATATTTCTGTAGATAAGACTTCCAGCAGACTTGGAAAACATTTTCTAGTGCCAGCTTTCGGTTGGCTTTATCACAGATCATTTTGGCATCAAGAGATAGATGGCTGAGGTTTTGGCCACGCTGGCACTAGTTACTCCCCTTGGTAGCTCACGATCCCAGGACAGTAGATGAAGAGCCACCGTTGTGTCTGAATTCTCTCCCCACCAAGGAATTACGTGGAATTAATGTCTCCAGTGTAGCGTAACTGAGCAGCACCACACTCAGACAACTCTTACTTCATTATTCCTGAACACACTGAGCTAAATCACTTGAAATACCACAGGACAATTTCATAGACAAAGTGTAAAGGGGCATTTTGTTGTTAAGTGCAAGGCTGTGACCAAAATCTAACAGGCTGAATCTCCACCTGGATACGAATGAGTTTTTGGAGGATGAGACCTCTGGAAGACGTGGCAAAACCTGCATCTGTGCTTCCTTCTGTGGAACCGATCTGTTAATTCACACCTTGGCTTGTCTTGGATCAACAGTTTCTGTTCGGTGATAAACATTTTTCTTCACCCAGTCAGACAGCCTTTGAGGATTGAGTTGCCACAATAAATGCCTCTGCCTCCTGAAGGCTCTAGACAGGATACTAGATGAATGGCAAGCTAGAAACTGAGCGTCTTTATCACTACCAGAGTGATAATGGGATAAATGTTTAGCATTTTAGCGTGTTTAGCTCAGTGCTGGTGTTGACACAGATACACTGGTTTCCACACAGTTTGAGGTAGTACCAACTTTGATGTGTTAAACATGTCCTGACCTGGGATCTGCTTCCTCCTTCTCCCTGTGATGGAAAATTTAGGTTCAATTTTTAAAAATATGTATTGTTTGTAGTTCAGGACAGAGAAATATCCTAACAATTCATTCACCTGAAAGAGGTTCTCCATTATGAACTGGGCAACCTGTGAAATAGTTGTTACATACTTGATGGTGGGGTGGGGGCTCTGAGATTGTCTGCTGTAGCCGCTCAATATTTTTTTTTGTTTGTTTGTACTTTGTCTTGCAGCAGCGGCTCTATCAGATCCAGATGCAATGCACCATGCTTTGCAGTGTCTTTAATAGACTGGCTTTTTTCTCAGGAGAACCGTGAGAAGGATGAGATGTATTAAAGATCTCATCGCCACAGCATCCAGGAAGCAGGTGGCTGCTCCAGCCCTAGCAGAGGGACTTGGAGCACAACGAATGACTCAAAATCTGCCTGCCCAGTGAATCTCACATATAGATTAATCTGTATGCCCGAAGCAGCTGCTGCAATGCTAATGTGAAGCATGCATCTGTTTTCCTTGACCAGGCTTGACATTGCGAGATTCATGATCTAACTTGTTCTCATGGGTGGTGAAAAACTCCTGCACTGGAAACAAGCTGTAAGTAAATCGATAACAGTGTCACTTACAGAAGATTTAGAATCAGGTCTATAATAAACAACACAGCGCACTCACTTCAGCTGCCCAGGTGGCTATGGATAACCCCTACGGTTAACTCCTTTACCGAAAGGGTTGTGAGGCACTGGAACAGGCTGCCCAGGGAAGCGGTGGAGTCACCATCCTTGGAGGTCTTTAGAAAACATTTAGATGTAGAGCTTAGGGATATGGTTTAGTGGGGACTGTTAGTGTTAGGTCAGGGGTTGGACTCGATGATCTTGAGGTCTCTTCCAACCTAGAAATTCTGTGGTTCTGTAACCTGAAAATAGTTTGTGGTGATTTGTTTTTTTCGGGGGAGGCACAGGGAAGGATTTTTTAAATTCCCCCTAGCCTCAAAGTGTTCTTGTTGCAGCCTGCGTTCTTTTAGATATCAACATATCATGACGTACTAGAGTTGGTATTTGCATCAGGCTCTCTAGGTCCAGAGAAATTCCAGTATGTCCTTGTAGGCAGCCTAAGTATTTCTGGAGCCTGATGTTAGGACAAGCACAAATAGACCAAATCTTTAACAGAAATTATCAGGCAGTACACGGGAATAGTGTTCTAACCAAACCAAAAGCAGCTATTGCTTCAAGTTATTATTTTCCCATCCATTCAGACCAAGCTGCCTAAAAAGACGTAAAAAAAACGATGCCATACTCAATGGGTGTGCGTCCTTCAGGGACAGGAGCCGTGACAGGAGGCAAGTTGGTGAAATAAGGAACGGTGTTCGAGCCCTTCTCAGGCAGTTTT